CAAAAGGCCTTAGCTGGCGGCACTGAGAATTAAATTGCTAGATAAATATAGTGAAATAATTCGATATTTAAGGAAGAAGAAATGAACAATTCCCACGCCGGGAATCGAACCCGGGTCATGGCGGTGAGAGCGCCAGATCATAGCCACTAGACCACGTGGGAACTTGGTGACACCAGCATTAGAGGAATCTTTTACAGATGGTTGACTCTAATTTTTACGATCTGAGAAATGACAAAACGAATTTGACCCCGAAGTGATTTGAACACCTAACCTTCTGATCTGGAGTCAGACGCGCTACCAATTGCACCACGAGGCCTTATAGCTAGTTCCACGGAGCATTAAATTGCAAGATAAATATAGTGAAATATATGGATATTTTAGGAAGAAGAAATAGACAATTTCCACACCAGGAATCGAACCCGGGTCATGACGTTGAGAGCGCCAGATCATAGCCACTAGACCACGTGGGAACTTGGTGACACCAGCATTAGAGGAATCTTTTACAGTTGGTTGACTCTAATTTTTACCACCTGGGAAATGACAAAACGAATTTGACCCCGAAGTGATTTGAACACCTAACCTTCTGATCTGGAGTCAGACGCGCTACCAATTGCGCCACGAGGCCTTAGCTAGTGGCACTGAGAATTAAATTGCTAATAAATATGTGAAATATTCGATATTTAAGGAAGAAGAAATGAACAATTCCCACGCCAGGAATCGAACCCGGGTCATGGCGGTGAGAGCGCCAGATCATAGCCACTAGACCACGTGGGAACTTGGTGACACCAGCATTAGAGGAATCTTTTACAGATGGTTGACTCTAATTTTTACGAACTGCGAAATGACAAAACGAATTTGACCCCGAAGTGATTTGAACACCTAACCTTCTGATCTGGAGTCTGACGCGCTACCAATTGCGCCACGAGGCCTTAGCTAGCGGCACTGAGAATTAAATTGCTAGATAAATATAGTGAAATATTTCGATATTTAAGGAAGAAGAAATGAACAATTCCCACGCCGGGAATCGAACCCGGGTCATGGCGGTGAGAGCGCCAGATCATAGCCACTAGACCACGTGGGAACTTGGTGACACCAGCATTAGAGGAATCTTTTACAGATGGTTGACTCTAATTTTTACGAAACTGAGAAATGACAAAACGAATTTGACCCCGAAGTGATTTGAACACCTAACCTTCTGATCTGGAGTCAGACGCGCTACCAATTGCGCCACGAGGCCTTAGCTAGTGGCACTGAGAATTAAATTGCTAAATAAATATGTGAAATTTCGATATTTAAGGAAGAAGAAATGAACAATTCCCACGCCGGGAATCGAACCCGGGTCATGGCGGTGAGAGCGCCAGATCATAGCCACTAGACCACGTGGGAACTTGGTGACACCAGCATTAGAGGAATCTTTTACAGATGGTTGACTCTAATTTTTACGAACTGAGAAATGACAAAACGAATTTGACCCCGAAGTGATTTGAACACCTAACCTTCTGATCTGGAGTCAGACGCGCTACCAATTGCGCCACGAGGCCTTAGCTAGCGGCACTGAGAATTAAATTGCTAGATAAATATAGTGAAATATTCGATATTTAAGGAAGAAGAAATGAACAATTCCCACGCCGGGAATCGAACCCGGGTCATGGCGGTGAGAGCGCCAGATCATAGCCACTAGACCACGTGGGAACTTGGTGACACCAGCATTAGAGGAATCTTTTACAGTTGGTTGACTCTAATTTTTACCAACTGAGAAATGACAAAACGAATTTGACCCCGAAGTGATTTGAACACCTAACCTTCTGATCTGGAGTCAGACGCGCTACCAATTGCGCCACGAGGCCTTAGCTAGTGGCACTGAGAATTAAATTGCTAAATAAATATGTGAAATATTCGATATTTAAGGAAGAAGAAATGAACAATTCCCACGCCGGAATCGAACCCGGGTCATAGCGGTGAGAGCGCCAGATCATAGCCACTAGACCACGTGGGAACTTGGTGACACCAGCATTAGAGGAATCTTTTACAGATGGTTGACTCTAATTTTTACGAACTGAGAAATGACAAAACGAATTTGACCCCGAAGTAATTTGAACACCTAATCTTCTGATCTGGAGTCTGACGCGCTACCAATTGCGCCACGAGGCCTTAGCTAGCGGCACTGAGAATTAAATTGCTAGATAAATATAGTGAAATATTTCGATATTTAAGGAAGAAGAAATGAACAATTCCCACGCCGGGAATCGAACCCGGGTCATAGCGGTGAGAGCGCCAGATCATAGCCACTAGACCGCGTGGGAACTTCGTGACACCAGCATTAGAGGAATCTTTTACAGTTGGGTGACTCTAATTTTTACGAACTGAGAAACGACAATACGAATTTGACCCCGAAGTGATTTGAACACCTAACCTTCTGATCTGCAGTCAGACGCGCTACCAATTGCGCGACGAGGCCTTAGCTAGCTGCACGGAGGATTAAATTGCTTATAAATATAGTGAAATATATGGATATTTAAGGAAGAAGAAATAGACAATTCCCACGCCGGGAATCGAACCAGGGTCATGGCGGTGAGAGCGCCAGATCATAGCCACTAGACCACGTGGGCACTTGGTGACACCAGCATTAGAGGAATCTTTTACAGTTGGATTACTCTAATTTTTACCAACTGAGAAATGACAAAACGAATTTGACCCCGAAGTGATTTGAACACCTAACCTTCTGATCTGGAATCAGACGCGCTACCAATTGCGCGACGAGGTCTTAGCTAGCTGCACGGAGAATTAAATTGCAACATAAATATAGTGAAATATATGGATATTTAAGGAAGAAGAAATAGACTATTCCCACGCCGGGAATCGAACCAGGGTCATGGCGGTGAGAGCGCCATATCATAGCCACTAGACCACGTGGGAACTTGGTGACACCAGCATTAGAGGAATCTTTTACAGATGGTTGACTCTAATTTTTACGAACTGAGAAATGACAAAACGAATTTGACCCCGAAGTGATTTGAACACCTAACCTTCTGATTTGGAGTCAGACGCGCTACCAATTGCGCGACGAGGCCTTAGCTAGCTGCACGGAGGATTAAATTGCAAGATAAATATAGTGAATTATATGGCTATTTAACGAAGAAGAAATAGACAATTCCCACGCCAGGAATCGAACCAGGGTCATCGCGGTGAGAGCGCCAGATCATAGATATTAGACCACGTGGGAACTTGGTGACACCAGCATTAGAGGAATCTTTTACAGTTGGATGACTCTAATTTTTACCAACTGAGAAATGACAAAATGAATTTGACCCCGAAGTAATTTGAACACCTAACCTTCTGATGGGGAGTCAGACGCGCTACCAATTGCGCGACGAGGTCTTAGCTAGCTGCACGGAGAATTAAATTGCAAGATAAATATAGTGAAATATATGGATATTTAAGTAAGAAGAAATAGACTATTCCCACGCTGGGAATCGAACCAGGGTCATGGCGGTGAGAGCGCCATATCATAGCCACTAGACCACGTGGGAACTTGGTGACACCAGCATTAGAGGAATCTTTTACAATTGGATTACTCTAATTTTTACCAACTGAGAAATGACAAAACGAATTTGACCCCGAAGTGATTTGAACACCTAACCTTCTGATCTGGAGTCAGACGCGCTACCAATTGCGCCACGAGGCCTTAGCTAGCGACACTGAGAATTAAATTGCTAGATAAATATAGTGAAATATTTCGATATTTAAGGAAGAAGAAATGAACAATTCCCACGCCGGGAATCGAACCCGGGTCATGGCGGTGAGAGCGCCAGTTCATAGCCACTAGACCACGTGGGAACTTGGTGACACCAGCATTAGAGGAATCTTTTACAGTTGGTTGACTCTAATTTTTACCAACTGAGAAATGACAAAACGAATTTGACCCCGAAGTGATTTGAACACCTAAGCTTCTGATCTGGGGTCAGACGCGCTACCAATTGCGCCACGAGGCCTTAGCTAGTGGCACTGAGAATTAAATTGCTAAATAAATAGAGTGAAATATTTCGATATTTAAGGAAGAAGAAATGAACAATTCCCACGCCGGGAATCGAACCCGGGTCATAACGGTGAGAGCGCCAGATCATAGCCACTAGACCACGTGGGAACTTGGTGACACCAGCATTAGAGGAATCTTTTACAGATGGTTGACTCTAATTTTTACGAACTGAGAAATGACAAAACGAATTTGACCCCGAAGTTATTTGAACACCTAACCTTCTGATCTGGAGTCAGATGCGCTACCAATTGCGCGACGAGGTCTTAGCTAGCTGCACGGAGCATTAAATTGCAAGATAAATATTATAGTGAAATATATGGATATTTAAGGAAGAAGAAATAGACAATTCCCACGCCGGGAATCGAACCAGGGTCATGGCGGTGAGAGCGCCAGAACATAGCCACTAGACCACGTGGGAACTTGGTGACACCAGCATTAGAGGAATCTTTTACAGATGGTTGACTCTAATTTTTACGAACTGAGAAATGACAAAACGAATTTGACCCCGAAGTGATTTGAACACCTAACCTTCTGCATGATCTGGAGTCAGACGCGCTACCAATTGCGTCACGAGGCCTTAGCTAGCTGCACTGAGAATTAAATTGCTAGATAAATATAGTGAAATATTTCGATATTTAAGGAAGATGAAATGGACAATTCCCACGCCGGGAATCGAACCCGGGTCATGGCGGTGAGAGCGCCATATCATTGCCACTAGACCACGTGGGAACTTGGTGACACCAGCATTAGAGGAATCTTTTACAGATGGTTGACTCTAATTTTTACGAACTGAGAAATGACAAAACGAATTTGACCCCGAAGTGATTTGAACACCTAACATTCTGATCTGGAGCCAGACGCGCTACCAATTGCGCCACGAGGCCTTAGCTAGCGGCACTGAGAATTAAATTGAAACATAAATATAGTGAAATATATGGTTATTTCAGGAAGAAGAAATAGACAATTCCCACGCCGGGAATCGAACCAGGGTCATGGCGGTGAGAGCGCCAGATCATAGCCACTAGACCACGTGGGAACTTGGTGACACGAGCATTAGAGGAATCTTTTACAGTTGGTTGACTCTAATTTTTACGAATTGAGAAATGACGAAACGAATTTGACCCCGAAGTGATTTGAACACCTAACTTTCTGATCTGGAGTCAGACGCGCTAGCATTTGCGCCACGAGGTATTAGCTAGCTGCACTGAGAATTAAATTGAAACATAAATATAGTGAAATATATGGATATTTCAGGAGGAAGAAATAGACAATTCCCACGCCGGGAATCGAACCAGGGTCATGGCGGTGAGAGCGCCAGATCATAGCCACTATTATTAGAGGAATCTTTTACAGTTGGTTGACTCTAATTTTTACCAACTGAGAAATGACAAAACGAATTTGACCCCGAAGTGATTTGAACACTTAACCTTCTGATCTGGAGTCAGACGCGCTACCAATTGCGCCACGAGGCCTTAGCTAGCTGCACTGAGAATTAAATTGCAAGATAAATATAGTGAAATTTTTCGATATTTAAGGATGAAGTAATAGACAATTCCCACGCCGGGAATCGAACCCGGGTGATAGCGGTTAGAGCGGCAGATCATAGCAATTAAAAATGGGGCGCAATCTTCCCGCTGCCCTTCCCCCGCGAATTACCACAAGTAATTTGCCTAACATGAAGTACTTAATTAAATAAAGTTGTCGCTGACATGAAAACCGCTTTAGCGATGTAATCGTGAAATACAAAATGGCGCGTGTTTTGAGAGTATAAACAAAGGATAAACAGAGGTGTATATGAGAAATATAACAAGAACGAACTACAAAAACGTGTTGCTGTTCTTGCCATTATCACCAATAGTGAGGCAAGTATTTTTTTACATTATAAATATATATATATATATATATACAGATAATACAGGGTGTATATAAAAAAAACGCAACCTCGGAATTTCCCAACAAATCGACATTGTTTTAAGGACACAAGATTTTAGTTGCCTGGGAATTTAAAATAGGATAACTAACTGTCAATATTACTGCACACGCGAGTGCATAAGGCAAAATTTATGCATTTATTTAATGACACTTAATAAGTTTTTATTTCACAAGTACAGTACAAAGTGAATTTCTTGGGAAATTCCGAGGTTGCGTTTTTTTTAATATACACCCTGTATATATATAGCAAATAGAAAATTATTTTTTTGGCTTTGGAGGGTTTACCTCCTTCCTTGCCTTCATCCACGCATCCTTATTTGCATATTGTTTGCCCTCCACGGCAGGGCAAAACGTGTCCACACTGTTCTGCCCAACATGCCTACTGTGTCCGAAATCCTTTGTTTTTGGAACTGTATATTTGTTTTTGTCATGATGAGATCATGCATTGTGACCAGCTCTCTGATGTTATGGTAGCTGGTCAGTATACATCTCCACCTTGAAACCGATCTTCCGTCAATCTTGATGGGCGAGACAAAGTGTTTTTCCAGCTGTGAAACAAGTTGTTCCACAATTGGACTGGCATCTACAGCTGTTGCTGGCCCCGAGTCTCCTCCAACCATTGCTCTAAAAAAATTGTTATGCATGGTAATTAGATTTGAACAAGTACTGTAGGTTGGTTGATTGATTCTGTATGTATGTGTTGTATATTTTACCTTCT